TTACCCTGGATTATGTGGATGGGCCTTAAATCCAGTCATAAGTATCCTTGTAAGAGAGAGGCAGAGAAGTTTAGATACACACAGAAGATCATGTAACTCCATGTGACCATGGCAGCAGACATTAGAGTAATGCAGCCACAAGCCAAGGAATGCCAGCAGCCACTAGAAGCTAGAAGAAGCAAGAAGAGATTCTCCCCTAAAGTCTCCAGTGGTAGCACAGCTTTCCCCACAGTTTGATTTCTGACCTTCAGAACTGTGAAAGACTGTATTTCTGGTTTTGTTAAGCCACTCAGTTTGTGTGAATTGGTTGCAGCTACCATAGGAAACTAATTCCTCCCTAGAGCCTCACGCAGCTCGGCCTACACCTTAATTTTAGCCTATAAGATTCACCGTGGACTTCTCACACCCAGAACTGTAGATAATAAATTTGCCTTGTCTCAAGACATTAAATTTGTGGTACTTAACACAGACAGGGATTTCTTCAACTTGATTAAGAACATTTACAAAAACCTACAACCAATATTATATTTCTTGGTGAAAAACTGAATGTTTTCCCCTTAAAACTAGGAACAAGGAATGGATTCCACTATTATCAGTCTTAAAATTCTGGGAGTTCTCTCAGTGCAATAAGGCAAGAAAAGGAAATAATAGGATCAATATCAGAAAAGAAATAAATCTGTCCCTATCTGCAGATCACATGATTATCTATGTAGAAAATTCCAAAGAATCTACAAGAAAATTATTAGAATGAGTTAAGATCACAGAATATAAAATAAACATGCAGAAGTCCATTCTTTTAGTAGAAATGAACATGTGGACACCATAATTAAAAATAAAACACCATTTGTAATCACACACACAAAAAAGAAAATCTTAGATGTAAATCTAACATGTTCCAGACTTAAATAATAAAAAGTACACAGTCCTGGAGTTCCTGGCTGGCTCAGTCAGAAGAGCGTGTGACTCTTGATCTCAGGATTGTAAGTTCTGGGTGTTGAGATTATTAAAAAAAATACAACTTAAAAAAAATCTACACAGTCCTGATGAAAGACTCAAAAAAGATCTAAATAACTTGAGAGATATACCATACTCATGGACTGGAACTTTCAACTTAGTAAAAATGTCAATTCTCCCCAAATTGATACACAGGTTTAATATAATATCTATCAAAATTCCAGCAAGGTTGTATTTTTTTGGTAGATATAGACAGGATTAGTCCATAGAAAGGCAAAGAAACTAGAATTGCTTAAAAAAAAAAACACTGAAAAAGAATAAAATGGGAAGAATCATTCTACTCAATTTCAAGACTTATTATATAGTTATAGTAATCAATACCGTGTTGCATGGAAGAGAGACAGGCACATAGATCAGTGGAATGGAATAGAAAACCCAGAAAGAGACCCAGACAAATACACCAACCTTATTTTTTTTTAATTTATTTACTTGTTTATTCAGAGAGAGAGAGAGAGAGGCAGAGACACAGGCAGACTCCATGCCCAACGTGGGACTCGATCCCGGGCCTCCAGGATCACACCCCGGGCTGCAGGCAGTGCTAAACCGCTGCGCCACCAGGGCTGCCCACACCAACCTTATTAAATGCAAAAACAAGAGAGGAAAGGTAGCCTTTTCAATAAATGATACTGGAGCAATTGGACATCCATAGACAAGTGGGGGAAAACAAAGTAACTCAACCAAGTCTCATGCCTTACAGAAAATTAACTCTAAATGGATCATAAACTTAAATGTAAAACACAAAACTAAACAACTTTTAGCAAAAAAACATAGAAGGAAATCTGAGCAGCACCAGTGGCGCAGCGGTTTAGCGCCACCTGCAGCCTGGGGTGTGATCCTAGAGACCCCAGATCGAGTCCTGCATCAGGCTTCCTGTATGGAGCCTGCTTCTCCCTCTGCCTGTGTCTCTGCCTCTGTGTGTGTGTGTGTGTGTGTGTGTGTGTGTGTGTGTGTGTATGAATAAATAAATAAAAATAATAATAATAAGGAAATATTTAAGATCTAGGGCCAAGCACAGAGTTCCTAAGCTTGATGGCAAAAGCACAATCCATAAAAAGGAAACTTGATAAATTGGACTTCATCAAAATTAAAACTTTTGTGCATCAAAGGACACTATAAAGAAAGTAAAGAGGGATCCCTGGGTGGTGCAGTGGTTTGGCGCCTGCCTTTGGCCCAGGGCGCGATCCTGGAGACCCGGGATCGAGTCCCACATCGGGCTCCCGGTGCATGGAGCCTGCTTCTCCCTCTGCCTGTGTCTCTGCCTCTCTGTGTGTGTGTGTGTGTGTGTGTGTGTGTGTGACTATTATAAATAAATAAAAATTAAAAAAAAAAGAAAGTAAAGAATCCACAGAACAGGAGAATATATTTGCAAATCATTTACCTACCAAGGGTCTACTATCCAGAAAATATAAAGAACTCCTACAACCCAACAACAAAAAAACCCAATTCAAAAATGGGCAGGGATGCCTGGGTGGCTCAGGGGTTTGAGAGTCTGCCTTCGGCCCAGGGCACGATCCCTGGAGTCCCAGGATCTAGTCCCACATCAGGCTCCCCACAGGAGGCCTGCTTCTCCCTCTGCCTGTATCTCTTCCTCTCTCTCCTAAATAAATAAAATCTTTAAAAAAGGGGGGGGGAGAACTAAAATAAACATCTTCCCCCAGAAGAGATACAAATGCCCAAGAAAACATTAAAAGATGCCCAAGATCATTAACTATCAGGGAAATGCAAATCAAACCACAGTGAGATTTCACTTCACACCCACCAAAATTTCTGTAATTTAAAGAAAAAAATCAGTGTTAGTGGAAATGTGAAGACACTGGAACCCCTCACACACTGCTGGTGGGAATGTAAAAATGATGCAGCCACTGTGTAAAACAGGTTAGTAGTTTCTCAGTAAACCAAGAAATACCATACAACCCACCAATTCCATTTCTGGGTATAACATACTCAAAAGCACTGAAAATAAGTATTCAAACAAAAACTTATACCATACACAAATATTCACAGGAGTACTATTCACAAAAAGCCAAAAGGTGAGGGTTGCCTGGGTGGTTCATTTGGTTGAGTGTCAGACTCTTGGTTTCAGCTTAGGTCATGATCTCAGGGGCATGGGATCAAGCCCCATGTTGGGCTCTGCAGTCAACAGGGAGTCTGCTTGAGATTCTCGCTCTCCCTCTGCCCCTTTCCTGCTGGTGTGCACATGTGCACCTGCATGTGCTCTCTCTCTCTCAAATAAACCTTTAAGAAAAAAAAAATTCATTGAAACAAAAAGCAGAGTAGTGGGTGCCAGAGGCTCGGAGGAGGGAAGAAAAGTGAGAGGTTAATGGGTATGTGATTTCCTTTTGAGGTAATGAAAATGTTCTATGGTAAATTTTATGTGTATTTTCCCCACAATGTTAAAAATATATATCCGTCAAGCCAGGGGCAAGATGAAATGGAGCTAGCTTTCGTTATTTAGGAAAATAGCTTTCCTTATTCAGGATCCCTGTCTCCTCTGTGTGGAAGCACAAGAAAATCAACTTGAAATTTGTAAGAAATGGGTCATTCCAGATCTTAACGATGAAGCATAAAGCAAGGTTCCACTGTCCGCTCAGTGTCTGCAGCCACCGCCCAGCAGTCCTTCTCATAGATGTCCCTGCAGAGCACGTCTGCCTCTATGAAGAGGCTTCTAAACTGTGGATTTAAAAAAAAAAAAGATTTCATTCATGAGAAAAAGAGAGAGAGATGCAAAGACATAGGAAGAGGGAGAAGCAGGCTAGGCTCCCTGTGGGGAGCCCGATGTGGGACTTGATCCTGGGACTCCAGGATCACGCCTGAGCCAAAGGCAGACACTCAACCACTGAGCCACCCAGACATCCCTAAGATCTGGGCTTTTAAGAAATTCAAACCCATTATTGCAGATCGGAGAACCCATCTGGGCAAGTTTTGCTGTTGATGAAACACGCCCTTTTCCTAGGCTTCCCCATCCTGAGGGGGGTCTCTCCAGGCCCTCCAGCCTGTCACAGCCACTCTGGTGACCCGGCTGCATCCCCCTTCTGGGTTCTCCTTCTAGAAAGGAAGTCAGTTAAGAACAAACCCAGGGCTGATGGAACTCAGATGCTTCTGCGTCCTTCCTGGATTCTGTGTCACATGGCTCCCTCCATTCTCAAAATGGTAAGAACATTGTTCCCTTCACATTACCTTGACAGCCCATAATGGAATGTTCATTTCCCCTTGACTGATATTTAAAAGGGGCCAAGCCTAAGGGCAACATGTTCCTCACCTTGCCACCCTAGATGGGACTGGTCGGCTTGCAGTCAGCCGGAGGAGGGTAGGCTGCATCTCTCCAGTGCCAGGAGGCAAGGGCTGGCCCTCCCCAGAACCAACCGACAGAGTCCCAGCCTGGAAGAGGGGAGGAGGACAGAGGCTGAAGCACCTTTAAGTGCCCACTTGGCCTGTCAGAGCGGGGTGTCTAAGCTTAGAGACGAGGGAACAGGAAACTGGCACAGTAGTAGGATAGGACCAACTGCAGACATGATGGAAGTCAATCACAGAGCAAACCGTCCAAGCCCACCCCTTGACTGCTGGAGAGGAGTCCCAGGAACCCCAAGACCCGCCCTCTATGAATCGCTGGCTCACAGCCAACACCCATTCCTGTGCCCTTAGTCTGCGCCCCTGCTCTTGCTCCCCACAGATCCACCCACAGAAGCAGCAGCTGAGCCTCTTACTATTTCTTGATTTCTTGCTGCATCATTGGAAACCTTCAGGGGAATCTGGTCCTAGAAATGAAGTTTCCAATAACTTTGTTCACATGCCCAATCCTGAGCTGAACTGGACAAAATGAATTTCTGGCTTTCAGAGAAGCCCTTATATTCACACTTTGGATACCTCTACAGGCTTCTCAGAGCCCTGAGATAAATGTTTTACCCTTAAGAACACTAGGGCCTGGGTGTCTCAGCTTCTCAGCTCCACATGCCAGAGGGAGTGCCCAGCCCATGGAGGAAGACTGGGGGTCTTCTGGCTTCTTGGCTAGTCGGGGGCTCAGGGCACAGGGCCCAGACACAGCCACAGCACAGGAGGAGTGGAGGTTTGCCTGGGGTTCAGAAGTTTATTAGTAAGTGAGTTTGGGCCAGCGGGTGTTTACACGCTGCTTGCTACAGCCCTGGTGTGCCAGCTGCAGGAGGGAGGAGGGCTTCCTGCTCTGACAGTCACTGGTCAGCCACCCCGGAGAACGATGAGCTTCTCTCCTGGGATCCAGGGGCCAGGGCTTTGAGCTGGTGCATTCAGACGGACTCCACCTCTGTGTCCAGGGCCTGGGCTGGAGGGACGAGGGTTTTTAGGATCTCTGTGTAGTAGGGGCCAAACACTTTCTGATTGTGATGCGTTAGGCTGACAAACTTTTGGCCTAGTTCCGCCAGTTCTGCTTCGATGACAGTGAGGCCTCCAGGGAGGTCTAAGAGAGATCTCTGCACACCGAGGACCAAACAGCATTTGAGAAACAGGTGGATCCGCTGATCTATGAGCAGGATAAGACAGTGAGCAAACAACTTTCAGGAAGCAACAAGGCCTCTATACTCCACTCACTCAAGTTCTAAGTTAACCAAGATATTCACTAGCCTGCCCACTCACCTGGAGATAAGGAAATTTGTGTTGCTCCAGAAGGGGGATGCTATCTAGCTCCCAAGGACAAAGCAAAGGTCACAGACTAGTGGGCTAGTAAATTCCTGACTAGTCAAAAGATGACTTAAGCCTCCACCAGTAGATCTTGAGTGAGTATCTAACATGAAGGATCTTAGACTGATGCTTTAGATGGCTGAGGTTAAGAGCAAGGTCAGGTTCATGCCGTCCATTCCAACAGGGATGAGTCCTTGCTGCAGGAACATGTCCTCTAGCTGATTCAGCATCAGTTTCTTATTGCTGGTAGGTGAGGGCTATGTCATGTCTTGGACTAATCAGAAAATGACCCAGAAGGCGAGGGATGACTTAACCAGGTTGGTTGAACAGGATGTCATACCCAGAAGTCATGAATCCTGGATGCAAACATTCCTTAGAACCAGAATCAGTCTTTAAACTGAAAGAAATAGGGCAGCCCCGGTGGCTCAGTGGTTTAGCACCGCCCTCAGTCCAGGGCATGATCCTGGAGACCCTGGATCGAGTCCCACGTCGGGCTCCCTACATGGAGCCTGCTTCTCCCTCTACCTGTGTCTCTGCCTCTCTCTCTTTTTCTCTCTTTCTCTGTGTCTCACTAATAAATAAATAAAATCTTTAAAAAAAATAAACTGAAAGAAATATATTTTCAACCCAGCATTTTGAAAAAACTAAAGCCTAAACAAGTGACTTGCCTAGTAATCATGCTTTCTATCACTAAATGGTTCAGTAACTGACTTCCAGGGACGGGATCTACCTCTCCCCAAAACACTCTCACCACTGCCATGGTCACGCTCACCAATGACACTGCGGACACAATTTTCCTTCTTGGCAATGTTCTGGAGCTGTCCTATCAGAGATGCTGCGTTGTCACTGCTCAGAGCAGCAAGGCCCATGTTCTTGAGGCTTTGATGGATTTCCTGAGACACCTGTTCACTCACAGTCTGCAGAGCCTCCTCAGGCCTAGACCATGAAGGAGAGTAAGCTGAGACCCAGCAGATGGCAATGCCATAGACCCAGAGCCACAGAGCCGGGGAAGCTCCATGCCAAAAGCTGGGCCCATTTGAGGGAGACTCTCAGTCATCTCCCTGCCCTCACCCCAGTCCCTGTAAGTGGGTAGGTTCACCATCCTCACTGCTATGCTCCAGATCCTGACTACTCTCTCTATATGATACCATGTTCTACTTCTTAGAAAACAAGATAAATTATAAAATCAACTCTGGGTAAGAGTTTGGTATCCACTCAATTCTTTAGCCCTGTGGAATTTATTTATATATGTGTATATATACATTTTTAAGACTTTCTTGGACATTTTCCAAGGTCATTAGTCCTACTGTCACCAATGACAGTGACCACTCTGGCCTTCCGATTCCTTTTTTCCTTTGGCGTGACACCCTCCACCCAGTGGATGTTCAATCAACATTGCTGACTGGCTTTCCACTTCCTGGATACACCTAAGACCAGGCCACCACCATCCACTCAAGGAGATAATGACTGCTTTGTGGCAAACGAGATCATGACTCATTTTGTACTAAACTGTCTTCCATGCTACCCTCTTTGGAAGAAAGCTTTATTTTCCTTTGTCACAAGTCTCAAGACTGTCACGGAAGGACCTCAACAATCTCTGTAGATGGTGCAAGTCTCTGTGACCTGCGGTGGAATGTAAGCAATCATTTAGTACCTACCTCTGTCTTCACACCACATACTGTCATCTCCTCTAAAAGAAAAAAAAAAAAAAATCCATGCAGCTCACCTGGACTTAAACTCCTCCATCAGGTCTTTGGTTATATGTTTCAGCTTATCCACAAACTGAGGTGAGCCAAACAAAACACTGCCTGAGAAACTACTGGCCACTAGCAGAACTGAGGCCAGGATGGTCAACTGGTGCAACTGGGACTCCAGCTCCTGCAGCCGGGTCCTGTCCATCAGCAGCGTCTGGGGAAGCCAGGAAGAAGAGGCCGTCAGGAGGGGAGGGTCATGAGGGAGTGCCGAGTACACTGTCAGGTGATGCCCTCCACAGGCCTACCTCAGGGAACTCTTCATTTTCCGGGTCCCAGAGAAGGAGGTTCAGGAAACCCTGCGATAGCACCATTGTAGGGCTAAGGGGCTCTGGGCTGCTGACTGCCTCGTTTGGGGAGGAGGAGGCCATACTGGTGGAGTCCAAAGTGTCGGGGCAAGTCGGGAGTGGCATGGTGAGGTCTGCTGCTGCTTGGGTCAGCCACTTGGTGGTGTGATCTAGGAGACCTAGAGTAGGAAGAGGGTAGGCAGGCATCTTCAGCATCCGCGTTCCTAAAGCTTCAAGACTAACGTTCTTTTCAAGATCTGCTCCTGGTCAATAAATAAATGCTTTGGTTGGGGGGAAGGGGGAGCTGTTTGTCTTAGACAACTCTTCCGTCTCCCCCACCCCAACCCCACCTGAGGAAGAAACTTTCTGTTCCCAAGAGACAGAGTATTCTCTAACATCACAGAAGCCAGATCCAAACAAGATCACATCTTCTCACTTCTGCCCTCAAGTTATTTACATACTTGGCTGTTTATTGAGGAGTTCCTGGAATGTAGCCCGTTCGTGCTGGATGGAATGTTCCTGCAGGTGAGGCTGAAGGCTCTGGATAGTGTAGTTCACCATGTCCATTTTCATCAGCCCCAGAACCTGGAAGATCCCTCTGACATAAAAGAAAATAAAATATACCATGAAAGGAAATCCAGCGAGAGGGAAGTGTCATTAAATCATATTCCAGAGTTAAAAGGGGCTTGAAAATTAGTCCCATCTCCTAAATTTACAAAAGATGGTGCTGTGGACCCGAGGCCCCAGAGTAAGTGATGGCAGAGCAAGGAACAGAGAAGTCTCTGGAACTTGAAGCCTCCAGGCTAGCTCTCTTTCCACAGGATCATTCTATTGTCTTTTTTAAAAGGTAGAGTCAGAGAAAGGAAACACACCGGCATGCTAATTAATCTGTCTGGAAAGAGGGATTATAGGTGATGCTGTATCTGAAGCAATTTCTAGGCCAATTGCTTGTCCCCCCACCCTTCTTCTAATTTTCTGGGTCTTGGTTTCTACAGCTATTAAGTAGGGATAGCCTCCCATCCCTGTCCCCTCATGCTGTATAAACTGCAATGAGAAAATGTGGGGACAGGGTATTTGAATACCTTAGAAGGATCACATACTCTAACGTTTTATGATATGATGTTCTACAGGAGGCCCGACCAACCTAAGGCCATCTTTGGGACAAAAAAAGAAGCTAACAGGTCAGTGAAGAGCAAAGAGAACAATGCTCAGGTCTTCAGGAGGGAAGAGCCAGCCAAGACAGGGGTTGTAATCGAGTGTCTGGCCCTGCTTTTCCTGGCCCAGGGGCTGAGGCAGGTTTCCAAGGACAGCAGCCAAGTTTCACACCTCAGTAACCGAACAGGGTCCGTAATGTTCTCTAGATTCTGTACTGCTTCATCTCGAACTGGTGCACACAGCAAAGTCATCATGTTGAGAATGTACTTAGAGAGATGAGGGACATTCAGGGCTCCATGTTCTGCTTTCTGATTGAGGAGCTCTGTATCCAGTGCTTCTTCAATCTCACTTCTTAGGCGGCTCTGGCGTGGTAACAGCAGTGAGAGCAAGATCTGCCCAAGAAAGAAAGTCAGAGGGAGTTGCACTCTGTGTGGAGCCCCAAACCTTCTCTAACGCACAACCCCTTTAGCCAAAGGCATCAGCCTGTCTCTTAGGAACCGAGAAGTAGGGTCACTAAATTTTCCCGAGAATATTATTTATCTTTGTTGAGAGGCCAATGATAATTCAGGGCTTTAGGTCAGCACAACCACAGTGCATCATTTTCTAGGCAGAATGAGATGAAGAGATAACTAAAATCAAGGAATGTGGAAAAAAGAAATGCAAAGTACAACAAATATAAAATACACATATCACATGGTGATGAGGTGCTCTTAATTTTAAAAGGTGGGTTTGCTTTATTATTTATTTGTTTGAGAGAGCAAGTGCTTAGGGGAAGGGGGGCAGAGAGAGAGAGAGAGAGAGAGAGAGAATCTCAAGCAGACTTTGCAGAGTGTGGGGCTTGATCTTATGACCTGAGATCATAATTTGAGCTGAAAGCAAGAGTCACACGCCTACCTGACTGAGTCACCCACATGCCCCAAAGCAGGCATTTTTAAAGATTATTTTACTTCAAATGGCAAGGATGAAATAGGCCAAGGACCAGTTAAGAGGCATTGGAAATAGCCTTTTAACTCCAAAACATAAGCTCTCTGTGAAGAGAGACTCTCTTATTCATTTCTGTGCCTCAGTAACACCATGCTGGGGGATGCAGTGGTGTGGTCCAGTTACCAGTTGTTTTTAATTGAATGGACTACTGTGTGGATTCCCAGCTGTTTCACTTCATCTAAAAACAAGTTTCTCCGCACTATTTAAAATGGTGAAGCTCACCGGTTAGCAGTCGAAGGCCCTCTGTGCCAACTCCACCCTCCTTCAGGGCCTACGCAATGGTAACAGAGCCAAGCCCTTCATCTGTTTTTCCCTTGCTGGCTGGCATGAGGTTAAGTTTTGTTAATAGAGGGTGCTAAAGAGAAACTGCCCAAGGGAGAGGTCCTCCTGCCCGGCTCTGGTGAGCTCCTCTGTGGCACCACCTATGTTGCTGCAGCTTTGCTTCACTCAGAAGCAAAGTGTGGGTTCCTTCTCCTGATCGGACCCTGACTGATACAAAATTGTATCGTACCACAGGTGAGGCCTGACTCAAAGGCCATATATCCACTGGATCTGATGAGCATGAGAAGCACGAGTAGCAAGTACCTTAGATGCCTTAGGGAAACGTGCAAATTACAGGATGGCAGATAATCCCCACAAAATGTCAGCAGCCTCTCACCTCAGTGAAGGTGCCAGAGCTTCAGTGGTCTGCACCTTGTCAAGCTATCCCCCTCCAAGCTGAGTCAATTTGCTGTACCTCAGACCACCTACCATGAAAGAAGAGGCACAATACTTGTAGGCCTTTCTGGGTTTTTGAGGCAACATAGGCCACCTTTGAGTTTACTCCTGCGGCACTCATTTAGAGTCACTCAAAAGGTTTACAGTTTCAAGTGGGAACCAGAGCAAAACTAGGCTCTGCCATTTGGGCTTTATAATCCAGCAGGTTCAATGATACTTACAGTGTCTGCGGCAAGTAAGGTTGCTGTAATACAGCCTCTGGCAGGTTCCAAAGAGAGCATCACAACAAGACGTTTAGGATTTTAGAGCAAATCTATGCCTTTTTCTGCCAATCATGGTTTGCCTTTTGAGAAATAGTTTCTGGTTTGCTCCTGGGCTTCTGTAGAAGTAAACACCTCACATACGACATGGGTGGCCACGTGGCCTGAGCTTTCCATGAGGAACTATGTGTTGTCCAGCCTACCTAACCATAAGATTAGGCCCAGCCCACAGCAATCTATCACCAGATGAAATGGCCCAAAGTGACCAAGCATATACCGGAATAGGACAGATCTACAGAACAGAAGAACAGAATAGGAAGCCCAGAAATAAAACCTGGAGATATGGTCAAATGTTTTTAAACAATGCCAAGACCATTCAATGGAAAAAGGACAGTATCTTCAACAAATGGTGAATAAACTGGGTAGTTATCCATGCAAAAGAATGCAGTCGGGTGGGTCAGCTGCGTGTCTCATTCTTGGCTTCAACTCAGGTTGTGATCTCTGGGTCATGAGATCAAGCCTAGCATTGGGCTCTGTGCTAAGCATGGAGTCTGCTTAAGACTTTTCCCCTCTCCCTCCTTCTGCCCCTTCCCTACTCTCTAAAATAAGTAAATTAATATTTTTTTAAAAGTTGAAGTTGGGGGATCCCTGGGTGGTTCAGCAGTTTAGCACCTGCCTTTGGGCCAGGGTGAGATCCTGGAGACCCGGGATCGAGTCCCACATTGGGCTCCCTGCGTGGAGCCTGCTTCTCCCTCTCTGTGTCTCTGCCTCTCTCTGTGTCTTTCATGAATGAATGAATAAATAAAATCTTAAAAAAAAAAGTTGAAGTTGGACCCTTATCTAACATCTTATTTAAAAAAATAGCTCAAAATGGATCAAAGATCTAAACAGAGGAGTTAAAATTCTAAAACTCTTCAAAGAAAATAAAGGGATAAATCTTCATAATCCTGGATCTGGTAAGACAGGACACCAAAGGCAGAAGGAACAGGCTAGATCAACTGGGCTTCATCAGAAATAAAACTTTTGTGCACAAGAAACTATCAAGAGAGTGAAAAGACTACCCACAGAATGGGAGAATATATTTGCAAATCACTTACCTAACAAGGGGCTACTCTCCTTGAATAGAATATATAAAGAACTCTTACAACTCAACAAAAGACAAACAACCTCATTTAAAAATGGACAAGGGCAGGGGGGGATCCCTGGGTGACTCAGTGGTTTAGCACTGCCTTTGGCTCAGGGCGTGATCCTGGAGACCTGGATCGAGTCCCACATTGGGCTCCCTGCGTGGAGCCTGCTTCTCCCTCTCTGTGTCTCTGCCTCTCTATCTCTCTGTGTCTCTCATGAATAAATAAATAAAAATCTTAAAAAAAAAAAAGGTTGACAAAGGGCTTGAGTCAACCTTTCTCCAAAGATGGCAGACCTTGGGCAATAAGCACAGGGAAAGATGCTCAACACCATTAACCACCCATCAGGGAGGTGCAGACCTAAACCACAGTGAGATTCCACTTCATAGCCACTAAGATGGCTATAATGATAAGAGAAAAAAAGCATTGGGGAAAACGTGGGAAAAACTGGAACCCTTATACCTTGCTGGCAGGAATGTAAAGCAGCGTAGCCACTGTAGTTTCTCAAATTCAGCAATGGCACCCCTTGGTATATACCCAAAAGAGCAGAAAACAAGCATTCAAACAAAAACTTGCACACAAATATTCATAGCAGTATTACAATAGCAAAAATGTGAAAATGACACAAACATCCATCAACAGATAAATGGGTAAACAAAACACAGAATGTCTCCATACAATGGAATTTTATGGGGTCATAAAGAGGAATGAAATTCTGACCCATGCTGACAACAGGGATGAACCTTGAAAACATTATACTAAAGTGAAATCTGCCATATACAAAAGGACAAATATCATACAATTCCCCTTATAGGAGGTACCTAGGGTAGTCAAGCACACAGACACAAAAGTATAATGGAGGATACCAGACTCCGGAGGAAGAAGAGAATGAAGAGTTACTGTTAATGGGTACAGTTTCTGCTTGGGAAGGTAAGAACGTTCTGGAAATGGATAGTATGATGGTCACAAAACATTGTGAATGTACTTAATGCCACTGAATTTTAACACTGAGAAATAATTAAAATGGTGGAGCCTAAAGCTCTTGATCTCAGGGTCATGAGTTCAATCCCCACGTTGGTCATGGAGCCTACTTTAAAAAGAAAATAATAATTAAAATGGTAAAAATTTTATGTATGTTTACAATTTAAAAAAATCCTAAAAAACACAAATGACTAAGCCATTCCCCAGGAAGGATGAGCCAGCCACCTAGTGGCAGATGACTTCTTTGGACCTCTACCACTGTGGAGGCAGCAGTCACCCTCACTGTAACAGATATATATTTTGGATATGGATTTGTCTTCTCTCTCTGCAATGCTTCTATCAGCACCAACATCTGTGTACTTACAGACTGCCTGACCCACCGTCCCAGCATGCCCCATACCATTGCCCCTGATCACAGAGCACTTTATAACACAGGAAATACAGCAATGGGTTCATACCCCTTGAATCAACAGGCCTTAACTGAAAAGCGGAATGGCTCATTGAAGACTCTATTACAGCATGAGTTGAGGGACAGTATCTTGAAAAGAAGAGGTTCTGTCTTATAAGATGCAATATATTCTTTGAATCAAAGGCCATTCCATGGTATAGTTTCCCAAAGCCAGAAAACAGGGTCCTAGGAATCCAGGAGTGGAAAGAGGACTGGTTCCTTTTACTATTATACTTAATAACCTCTCTGCAGAATTTTTGCTGCCCATCTTGCCAACTTTAGGTTTTGCTGATTTGGGAGGAATGCTTGCACTGGTCCCAGTGAATTAGAAGATGAGACTGCATATGGTCATTCTGTGCTCCTTATACCACTGAACCAATATGGTGAAAAAGGGATTATTCTACAGGTGAGAGTAAATGATCCTGAGTATGGGACACCTGGGTGGCTTGGCGGTTGGGTTTCTGCCTTTGGCTCAGGGCTCCCGGGATCAAGTCTCACATTGGGCTCCCTGCATGGAGCTCTGCTTCTCTCTCTGTGTCTCTCATGAATAAATCAATAAAATCTTTTTTAAAAAACATGATCCTGAGTATGAAGGAGAAACCAGGTTGATGCTACACAATGAAGGCAAGATGATTCTCTTAGGTTCCTTTCAGTGCTTTCACATCCAGTAACAAAAGTTAATGGAAAACCACAGCAAACAAACAACAGCAAAATGCTTAAGGACTCAGACTCTTTGGCAGTGAAGGTTTGGGTCACTTCACCATATAAAGACATCCAACCCAGCTAAGGCTTGGGCTGAGGGCAAGGGAAATATGGAATAAAAAGTAGAAGCAAGCCATGGATATCCACCATAGACTTGTGACCAATTACAGAAATGACGACTACAAGTTTTCTCTTTGCCTGTCACAGGCACAGGTTTATCTGTACACATTAACCACTTTCTTCTCTCCTCCTCTTCCCACTATTATTTTACAGATTGGTTGTTGTAAGCTAACTGTACAATTTAGACTTTAAGTAACAGAATATTTGGTGGCACTCTGAATTTGATAACAAAAGACACAGCAACTGTTGGGACCATGAGTCTCCTCATTTTCTGGAAAGAATGAAAATGAGGAAATGTCTGGAAAGACAACTGCATCTTAGCAGGCAGAAATAGAGATCTTTTCATAAACTGAAATGTGTGTGGACAGGTGCATACAGAAGCTGAGCAGCCAGCAGAGGGGAATGTGACAGTTATCAACTGTCTCTCAATTCCAAATTCATCATTCATTCCTCTGCTCGGAGAAAATGAAGTAAGCCCTTGCAATATTTTTTCTTTACCAGGTGGCACAATGGTTAAGTTTCATCTGTAGAGGGCACTAGTAGTTTTCTGGGCTGTATAAACAAATTACTATAAACGGAGAGGTAAATAAATAATAATAAAATAAAATAAAATAAAATAATAAAATAAAATAAATTAAATAAAATAAATGGAGAGGTTTACCACAGCACATACATTTATCTCACAATTTCTGTGGGGCAGGAGCCCAGGCACAGTTTAACTTGGCCCTCTGTCCCGCATCCCGCAAGGTGTTGTCAAGGTGTTGGCTGGGGTACATTCTCACTGGGAAGCTTGACTGGGTAGGACTCTGCTACCAAGCTCATTCAAATGGCACAATTTGTTACAGCAGATTTGCTGGATGGATGCTGCTGTCAGATCCTACAGGCCGTGCATTTCCCTGCCCCATGACCCTCTCCAGAGGCAGTTCACTATACACCCATCCACTTCTTCAAGGCCAGCAAGAAAGTTTCTCCAGTCGGCTAAGACGGAGTCTCACCTAGCAAAATGTATTTCTAGGAGCAGCATCTCAGCACCCTTGCATACTGGTTAGAGGCAAATTATAGATCTCACACTCAAGGAGAGCAGACTATATACAAAGGTGTGGATCACTGGGGGGTCACCCTAGGGTGTGCCCACCACATACTACAAAGACATTGGAAGAGGCAAGAGCTTCTCTTCATGGTTCTGCAATACTCACTTGGCGTTCTGCAAAATGGGTGTGTGGCTTTGCCTGTGGCTGGCTCCTGCAGCCTGAGCACCTTCACCAGTGCTCAGCTCCTGCAGGGCAAGTGGCTACTTGTCCAGTGCCAGGCTCCACCTGCACAGGCAGCTGTCCCAGCACCAGATCCTGCAGCGCAGGATGGGCAGAAGCGACACAGCCACGCCCTCCCAAACACTGCTGTGAGTGTTCTATCGCAGCCCTAGGGGTAGGGTGTATCTTCCTCCTCTCTGATATTTTAGCACACTTTAGAGTTTTCTTTGCTTTTTATTAGCTCAAAGCTCTTGTTTCTTTGAGTCCATGTTATAATCATTTTTATGTTGAAACTACTGTGTGATTTCTGTCTACTGATGAGACTCTGACTGAGTCCTGGACTGTGTTCAGGTCGGATCTGTTAGCCACTGCCACCCAATGACCTTGGGGATATGTAGGAAATTTACATCTACAGATGGAAGATCGGTCACTCACCTCTTTAATTTCTTTCAGAAGTTCAAGAGCACAGCTGAAGTCTGGGGGAGTAGCTGACAATTGCTCTTTGAGATGGTTCCAAAAGGCATTGTGCATGGTCTCCTTGACCTTATCTTCCAAACTGTAAAGAGGGTTAAATGAACAAATTACTTTCTCTAAAAACTGTTATAAGGTCATTCTCTCCCAAGACCCAAATAAACATATTTGATATGACAAAGACAATCACACTGACAGGAAAAGGCCAGGAACTATGTTTGGGCCGCAGCAAAGTTGAACAAGCTGGGGTCAGACCTGGATGCCAAGCACATTAGTGAAAGCTCTCAAGAGGGCTTCTCATGATTCCAAGCAGCCCTCCCTCTGCAGCAGGAAGAACCCTCAAGAGAGGTCAGGCCAGCTTTAGTACCGACTTTGCAACTAGCCTAGATAATACATGACTTAGTTTCCATTTATGCATACATACAGCAAGAAACTAAAGGATCTTTTATTCTCTTATAGTCCTAAAATCTAGAAAAGGATTCTCCTTCCTTGCTAATACTGAAATATCCACAGGCACTTCCAAAATCAATTCAGTATCTTCCCCTTCCAAACCTGTCCCTCCTGTATTCCCAATCACAGTGGCACTACCAGGTAGCCAGTGATGGAGGCCAGGAAGATGTTATCTCTTCTCCTTTAAAAAAAAAAATAGTGATGCCTGGGTGGCTCAGGCAGTTGAGCATCTGCCTTAAGCTCAGGGAGTGATCCCGGGTCCTGAGATCGAGTCCTGCATCAGGTTCCCTGCAGGGAGCTTGCTTCTCCCTCTGTGTTTCTGCTCTCTCTCTGTGTCTCTCATGAACAAATAAAATCTTTAAATAAAATAAAAAATAAATAGAAGCAAAAGGCAATTCAATTTAGAAAGGATAGTCTCTTCAGCATGTGGTGCTAGAACAAGTGGATCTCCATAAACAAACAAAAAAAATGTATCTTATAGCTTTCACAGATAGATCCCAGACCTAAATGTAAAATGTAGATGACAACACAGGAGAAAAGTAGGTGACCTTGGGTTTGGCAGTGACGTTTTAGATACAACACCAAGGGACGCCTGGGTGGCTCAGCGGTTGAGCGCTTGCCTTCAGCTCAGGGTGTGATCCCGGGCCAGGGGATGGAGTCCCACATCAGGCTCCTTGCCTGCTTCTCCCTCTGCCTATGTCTCTGCCTCTCTGTGTTTCTCATGAATAAACAGAATCTTAAAAAAAAAAAAAAAAAGAATGCCGAAAGCATGATGAACAAGAAAAAATTGGAAAACTGAAAATTAAAAACTTGTGCTCTGTGACAGACACTGTTAAGAGATGAAAAGACAAAGCACAAGCTTTGCAGAACACATACCTGATAAAGAACCAGTATCCTTGGGCAGCCTGGGTGGCTCAGCGGTTTAGTGCCGTCTTCGGCCCAGGGCCTGATCCTGGAGACGTGGGATCGAGTCCCACATCGGGCTCCCTGCATGGAGCCTGATTCTCCCTCTGCCTGTGTCTCTGCCTCTCTCTCTCTGTCTTTCATGAATAAATAAATAAGATCTTTAAAAAAAAAAAAAACAGTATCCAAAATACTGAGTCTTAAGACTCAGCAAGAAGAAAACAACTCAATTTTTAAAATGGGGAAAGCTCTGAACAGACACTTCACCAAAGTCATCATACAGATGGCAAATAAGCATATAAAAGATGTTCAACATCTTGTCATCAGGGAACTGCAAGTTAAAATAACAATGACATACCCATATAAGCCTATGAGACTGCCCCAATCAAAATACTGACACCACCAAAATGCTGGTGAGGATATGGAGCAACTCTAGGAACTCTAACTCATTGCTGGGGGAAATGCAAAATGGTACAGCCACTCTGGAAGACAGTTTGGCAGTTTCGTTTCTTTTCTTTTTTTAAAAGATTCATTCATTCATTCATTCATTCATTCATTCATGAGAGACACAGACAGGCAGAGACACAGGCAGAGGAAGAAGCAGGCTCCATGCAGGGAGCCCAATGCAGGACTCAATCCTAGATCCCGGGATCACGACCTGAGCCTAAGGCAGGTGCCCAACCGCTGCGCCACCCAGGCATCCCAGTTTGGCAGTTTCTTAGAAAACTAAACATGCTCTTGTCATATGGTCTAGCAATTGTCCTTTGTATTTGAGCAAATGAGGTGAAAACTTATGTCCACACAAAAACTTGCACAGGGAGGTTTAGACCAGTTTTATTCATAATTGCCAAAACTTGGAAGCCACCAAGATGTCATCCTGTAGGTGAGTGGTAAATAAACTGTGGTATATCTGGATAATGGGATATTATTCAGCATTAAAAAGAAATGAACCATCAAGCCCCCAAGAGACACAGAAGAATCTTAAATGCATACTGCTAAATGAAAGAAGCCAATCTGAAAAGGCTACATACTGTAAGATTCTAATTATAGGACATTCTGGGAATCAATGGAAACAGTAAAAAGATCAGTGGTTGCTGAGGAATCATGGGGCAGGAAGAAAAGGATGTACAGGAGATTTTTAGGACAGTGAAATCACTGTTTTGGATACAAAAATGATGAATACATAACATTACACATTTGTTTAAAAAAACCCACAAAATATACAAAAAACGAACTCTAATGTACACTATGGACTTGAGTTAATAATAATGTATTAATACTAGGATCACCAACTATGATAAATGACTTACTGCAAGACGTAAACAATGAGGGAATCGGTGTGCTGCAGAGGGAGGGGTGTGTGGGAACTCTGTACTTTCTGATTTTTCTGTAAAACAAAACTACTTTTAAAAATGTGTCTGGTGGGTGGGGGGTTGGGGTAATTGCGTGACAAGCACTTGAGGAAATGAGCATTGGGTATTATATGCTCAACTGATGAATCACTAAACTCTACCTCTGAAACTAATAATACACTATATGTTAACTAAATTGAAAATATGTTAATTAGAAAATTTAAAAACTAAACATTTAATGTGTATTAATTTAAAAAAAGAAATGACAAGAATTTTCCTCTCAAAGTTTATTTAAATGTTTCTTGTCTACAGGTGAGAGTCGTAAGAAGAAAAAGAACCATTTGAAAAGTACAAGTCTGTACCTAGTCATTGCCAAGTAGCTACTGGTTTTCTCGAATTAAACATCCCCCTTAAAAAAAAATACAGTAGTAACACAAGCTCCTTGTGAAAGAAACAAAAAACAAGCAATATGAGGATGAATAAAACAAAAAGTCAAAGCTCCTCTCCCAACACACCACTTTCACTCATCAGATGTAACCAACTATAATCTGCCCAACGATCTAAAGTGTACTAGACTTGTTCTCAACTCCTCTCTTCATCCTGTCTATCCAATCCATCTCCAAGTTTCATAAATCGTGCTTCTTAAATGCCTCCGGAATCCACCCCTTCCTTCCATGATCTCTTACCTGGACTACTGCCATAGTCCATTCACTGGTCCCCCTGCTTTCAGTCTTGTCTCTTTTCAATCGGTTCTGACCAATTCATTCTAAAACCAAGGACTTCTAAAGTGTGATTCTCATCAGGATGCCACGCTCATTTAAAGTCCTCGCCATAGCAAAAACCACTTACAGAACCCTTCTGGATACTGCTCTGCCTCCCACTCTGGTTTATCTCCTCCTATCTCACATTTCATGCTCAGCCACACCAAGGTACCTGTAAAAAACATACCATATTCTTGCCTCTGACATAGTTTCCTCTACCAGGAGCATTCTTTCTCATGTTGACCATCTGGACAGCATCTATTCCTCCTCTAAAATCAACTCAAGTCTTCATAAGCAACTCAGGTCTTCCTCTCTAGGCAGATCTTCTCTGACCCTCCTTAAGCAATTGAGCACTCTCATGAGACTCTATAGACACAACTATGAGTGAACTGATTGTCTTTTTTCTGTTATTCAACTGTCCCCCCTACAAAAGCTTCCTGACAGCGGTGACAGTCCCTTATCTATCTATAGCTATATCTCTATCTATCCCCAGCACCCAGCATTGTGCCCACCACATAAGTGCTCAATATATGCCTGATGGGTGAATGCTCAAATGTGGGATTTCCCTTTGTAGTGTGCAATTGTCACTAGCACTGTCCTTTGCACAAAGGAGAGCCAATGGCCAAAAATGAGTCAAACTCTATTTCAACCTCTTTCCTGATCTAAATTCTGTATTACCTTATGTGAAAACACAGCTCTGACTAGTACTATTTACTCTGTTCATTCCTCCCTCTCTCATCACCTCTACCTGCCCCCCCAACTCCCTCACTAGCACCCCTTTAGCAGACGTTCACTCCCGGTTTTAGTTTTGCTCTTCTCTCCTGCCGTCAACAACATACCTAAGCAGTGACAGAGACGTCAGGGGATGTGGGTTTAGGTGAAAACCTGGTCCCACAGAAGCTGTGCTTGGTATGGACACCTGCTGGCAGCAGGCTAGGGCATGGAGAGGAGGGGAATGAAGTGTGGTAGAGAACAGCACTTAGTAACTGCTGCCAGATAACAAAGGCATTCAAGGAAGCCGCATGATCACTGCCCTCATGTAGCTACTGGTGGGAAATTAGAACTGTTTTTAAAACCTGACACTGAATTTACCCATTCAACCACCAATAAACCAGCACAGCCATTGAATTCATACTTCCTAAATGGTTCTTATTTGTGACAGCTTCCATATAACTAAGAACCAAAGCAAAGCTTGATGGAGGTGGAAGAGCATTACTTATCAACAGAGTCCTGATCCTGATTCATAAATTAAACTGACTTATGAAGTCGGAAAGAAAAGAAATGAAAACACTACTATTCAAACATCCACATTTTATCTGTGCCTGCTTCATCTATGGTCACTTAAAAGAGTAACTGGAGGGAACTATGAGGCAGGCAGCCAACAGGATAATCCCAAAGATCTAGGATTCCTGGTATTCACGCTGGTGTATAGTCTCATCTCTGGGAGTTGTGGGCTGGGTTTACCATCTACCTTCTGGCAAACAGAATGTAGCCAAGGTGATGGGATGTCACTTCTGAGATGAGGCAACAAAAATACTGTGGGTTCTGTCTTGGGCACCATCTCCTCACTCCCTTATTCTCTCACTCACTCTGAGTGTGGCAAGGAGCTGAGGAGGCTCTGGCCAACACTCAACACGTTGACTGCAGCCTCGTGGGGGACCGAGAGCCAAAGGCACACTGTTAAGCCATGCCCCTATCTCTGACCCACAGAAACCGTGAGATAATGAACACCGTTTCAGCCACTAAGTTTTGGGATAACTTGATGGCCACAATAGCTAGCTACTCAGGCTACTTCCTCCACATCTATCAGAGAAGATCTGAAATCCGTCAGACTGATGTTTTATTATTAATGGGGGCTGCAAAGTGAACATTCCAATAATAATTACTTTGGCTTATTCGCTCATTAAATAATATTTGCTTCTTGACCCTCTAATACTAAAAAATATTACTTTTTAAGTTGTTGAGATCTTTTAAGTTTTATAGTCAAACATCATATCCCCCCCCCCCCCCAGTTTTCTTGACTGACTATTATTAAATAAAAATGCTTCGAGTCTGGTCAAAAGCCATTATTACTAAATAGTTATGCCGGGATGAATAAAATGGGAAAATCAGAAGAGCCGGTACCTGCTTGGAGGTGAAACCTTTTCTTCCATGTGCAAACCACGATTCTTTCCAACCTTGTTGCTCAGCTTAGAAACATCGTCAACCGTGTCTATCAGACCTGGGACAGAAAGAACTTTGGGTGGACACCTGAAACTAATGTTAACATCAATTTTACCTCCATTAAAAAAAAAGAAAAAGAACTTACAGTGGACACAAGTCATTCTGAATTTCCATTTTATTCAGAGATTCCCTCTGAGTAGGCCCCAAATTTAGATTCATCAAACTGATCTTATACAAACTCATTCAACTGTTCTAGTCATTTATATTTTCTGAACTTTGGGCCTAGAGTACTCCAGCACATAGTAGCCAGCAGTCCTTGGCCTGGATGCATAGTAGTGCTGTGTGGTGGTAAGAGAAGACAGAGCATCTCTTTTACAAATAACAAAAACTAATTACAAGCTTTTCTCTTGAAAAGTAAAATAATAATTAAGGCATCAAAGAAACAATAATTTGTGAGTTGCAAAAATAAGCATTTCTCTAGGGTTATTCTGATTCTACTCTCCTCGTCCTGCCTCTGATGAAAGCTAAATTCTCCATACAGATGGGGACTGAACAGCACCAGTGTCACTTGGTCTCAGAAAACAGTTCCAGGTGTTGGAATTTCACAGGCTACTAACATTTCCAAAAAGATTCTGAACAACTGACAACTTGCCAACTTTGGACAGTGAGACAAGCGCATAAGCAAATAAAAAATCCACTCTACCATCATTTCATAAAAGAAGAACTTAACTGCCCAAAAAAAAACCAAAACCCAACCCCCCCCCCCACACACACACACACAAACAGAAAGGGACTGTTGTCAGAATAAAGAGTAGTCCTTTACATTGAATCAGTTTAGCTTTAGGAAAAACTCATTACAGCATCTTTATTTCCTTTCACTAAATATTGCTAAGAATTTTGTCACAAACCAGCACTAGCATTTGGGAACCACTGCCCTAAGTTCTTAGTAAAGACCCAGCTGAGGGCATTCTCATGTAATAGGCAGAACATAGTTATAAGGACCACGTGGTATGTGGAACAAAGCTGCACAGAGTAAACTGTATTTTCTCATTCCCTTTCAGTAGCGCTTCATAATTTGTCCACAGAAGAGTATCTGGTTCCGAGATGTGGAAGGGACATAGATGAAGTAAGATGCACCATGGAGTTGATCATTGTTGAAGCTGGGTAATGAGTAAACATGGTTCCTCACGCTAGTCTACTTTTGTAAATGTTTAAATTGTCCATAAGTAAGAAGATTTAAAAAAGGAAAAAGAGTTATTGTTGAAAAGAGGTTACATGAGAATGCCTTTATTCTTAGGAGATACATGATCACATTTTTTTAGGCATGACTCCAACTTTCAGTAAGAAAGGAAAATCATACATATATGGAGAGAGAGAGTGCAAGGTCACAGAATGTTAATAATGTGGGCATTCACTGATTAGTTTACTTTTCAACAAAGTTGAATATTTTGAAATCAAAATGAAAATTTATGGGTAAAAAGTGATTGAAAATTTATCAAAAAGCCACTGAGCCCTTGCTCAGGTAAATATAAAGATGAACTGAGCCTCAAGTGGACAGTTGAAGTTCCCTTTGTTTTTGAAGCCTCTTGGAAGCCTTTGGTTTCAGCTAAAATGGCAAAACACAGTCAAATATGTAAACAGACAATCCATTACTTCACTAATCAGAAATAAAAGAAAATCTTCCAAGGGAAACTGAGATATAGCAGCTTATTGAAGGACTGAAGGAAAAATTATCCACAGAAAGTTTCCAACTGTAAGTCAAGGTCCAGAGCCTCCTTTGACAAGATGGTTTGGCCGCTCACGAGAACGGCACTATTCCACTCTACGAAAATTCAGGGAAGGGGAGGGACCAAAGAGAAATGAGAGGTAAAATACAACTAAAGTAGATTTCTAAGATCCATATCCCAAGGACAAAGAAATTTTCAACACGATACAGTAACTGAACCAAGTCAGCCTCATCTACAACATTTCAGATTCCTTTTTATTTAAAGGGGGGAATTTCGTTACTCATTTTAGGGCTGTTTTGCCTATGGATTCATTTAAACAGCCGCTTAAGAACTTAAGTTGTTTACACCTTACGTACCAAAAAATTGGCTTTCACCCCTACAATAGGTTCATTCACATCTATATAAATCCCCAGGCACCCAATGTGCCGCTTTGGGGCCATTTTGTTAGCCAGCAGCGACCCCATGCGGCCACAAGAGAAACAGGTGCCCTTCAACCTCCTAGCAGCGGGACCTTGAACTAATTTCTCCCGTTTCAATCTTCAAGAGTTCAGCTCTGCCTGTGGAGAGAGGGCTTCAGACTGAGGCCTGCTTACGTTCTCTAGAGACACTGCTCTAGGAGGAATGCAGGAGCGGTCCCGGGCAGGTGAGACCTACGGAAGCATGGAAGAGACCTGGGACCCAGGAGGAACACTGAAATACGAGAGCCCGGAGCAGCCGTCTGCGAGTCCATGAAGCGCCCGGTGATTCCCATCAGGGGTCACCGGGGGTCTCTAAAAACCCTCAAGTTCCACCTGCAAACTCAAACGACAAGGATGGCTGCGAACGCACTCGGCCCCAGACCTTGTCCGATTCAAGTAAGCCCGCCTGGGCCACTTCTTCCCCGGGGCCAACGCGGAGGCCGGGGCCCGTGAGCAGACACTGGGCGGGGACAGCGGAGGCGGGCCGAGGCCGAGGGCGAACCCAGGGCCCGAGGCCCCTCCCCTCCGCCCGGCCCCACACCTGGCGCCCTGGAGCGGCGGCGGCCCGGCGCGCGGGACCTACGGGCGGGGGCGTCCTCCACGCCGCTCGGGTCTTCCCGGGTCGCGGCGGAGGTCTCGGGCTTGCAGGACCCGCGCTCTGCGTCGCCTGGGTCCGTCAGGGGCATTTCCTCCTCGACGTCCGGCAGGTTGCGGATGGAATCTGGATCGGGGAGAAATGACGCGCCGTGGGCGTCGGGGAAGGGGGCCCTCCAACTGCCGCCGGGCTGCGCAGCCCCAGCCCCGCCCGGGCGCCCGGCCTGGCCGCACGGCAGGAGCGGGCGGGCGACTCCGGGGCCTCGGGGGTCAGCGGGACAGGGGAGCCGGGCGGCGGGGTGCGGGGGCCCAGAAGCCAGGCTCCGGGCGCGCGGCGAGGAGGCGGCGGGCCCGAGGGGCGGCGGGGGGGCGGCCCGCCTGGCCCGGGACGCCCGCCTCGAGCCCGCTGCGGCTCCGGCGGCAGGGGGAGCCCTCGGCGCTCCGGCTCCGCGCCGCTCACCTCCTCCCGGGCCACCGGCCGCCTGCTCTGGGTGGGCGTGGCGGCTGCGCGGCCTGGAGGCCCGGACCGTACCACCCGCGGCGCGGCGGGGGGGGCGGGCGGCCGTGAGGGGCCGCGCGGCGACGCGGAGGCCCCGGGCCGACCCCACGCGCACCCCCGCCGCCGCGCCGGGCCGCCGGGTGGCACAGTCGGGGCTTGGAGAACAAAGCGCCGCCCGTCTCCCGGGCAACCGGCGGGGTCACGTGGCCGCCCCGCGGTCCGCCGCGCGCCGCGGGGGCTGGGATCCAGGCGGCCGGGCTCCTGCTGGGTTGTCGCGAAGCCCCCGAGGCCCGGGGTGCCGTGGGCTCCGCGGCCGGGCCCTGCCTGGTATCTCGGGGCCCCCGCGAGAAAGACCACCTGGAACCACTCAGGGAGGGAAGAGGCCGCGGCTCAGCTAACCCGAGAAACGAGAGCACCCCGGGGGGGGGGTTCTTTTTTTTTTTTTTAATTTTTTATTTTTTATTTATTTATGATAGTCACAGATAGAGAGAGAGAGAGAGAGAGGCAGAGACACAGGCAGAGGGAGAAGCAGGCTCCATGCACCGGGAGCCTGATGTGGGATTCGATCCCGGGTCTCCAGGATCGCGCCCTGGGCCAAAGGCAGGCGCCAAACCGCTGCGCCACCCAGGGATCCCTTTTTTTTTTTTTTTTTTTAATTTTTTCCGGGGGGGGTTTCTTTCCAGCAAGGCCCCGCTACCTGCCACTCGGCAGGCGCGGAAACCCAGCCCCGGGCCGGTCCCGGTTGGTGGCGGCGGGGCGGCCGCGTGGGCTCTTCCACTGGATTCCTGGGCTGGGCTCCCCTGGACCTGCAGGCTGGACCCCGGACTCCGGGCTCCGTCCCGGGCCTGTCTCGGTTCCGAGTCGGCTCTGTTGCCCCTGGAGTGACGTGAGGACCACTGTCCCCTCCAACGATCACTGTGCTTTGGGGGGTGGGGGACGAAAAGAAGTGTCCACTGTACTCTCCTACCCCTTTTTATTAACGGACTTGATTTCTTACAACAAAAGCTTGCCTTAAAAAAATAAAATAGGGCAGCCCCGGTGCCTTAGCGGTTTAGCCCCGCCTTCAGCCTGGGCCCTGATCCTGGAGACCAAATCGAGTCCCACGTCGGGCTCCCTGCATGGAGCCTGCTTCTCCCTCTGCCTGTGTCTCTGTCTCTCTGTGTGTATGTGTCTCTAATAAACAAATAAAATCTTTTTTAAAAATGAATAAAATAGAGCGACTGAGTGGCTCAGTGATTAAACATTCTGCCTTCAGCCCAGGGCGTGATCCCAGAGTCCCAGGATCGAGTCCCACGTCGGGCTCCCTGCATGGAGCCTGCTTCTCCCTCTGCCTGTGTCTCTGCCTCTCTGTGTGTCTCTCATGAATAAATAAACTAAAACATAAGATGAAAGCATTGCCTGTATCAAGTTCTTATTATAACCTTTGCTTTGTTAGTGTGCAATGTGGATTTTTCTTGCACAACATACGCGTTTTGAGGGAGAGTATCATGAAGAGGCCCAAGAACACTTTTTTTCCTGCCTGCCTGCCTGCCTTCCTCTCTATGCCTAACATGAGGTCTGAACTCATAACCCCAGAGATCAAGAGTTGCTTGCTCTACTAACTGAACCAGCCGGGGGTCCCTGAACACATTTCTGCATAAGAAAGTCCTCTCTAGGATCCCTGGGTGGCTCAGCAGTTTAGCGCCTGCCTTCAGCTCAGGTTGTGATCCTGGAGTCCTGGGATCGAGTCCCGCTTCTGGCTCCCTGCACGGAGCCTGCTTCTCCCTCTGCCTGTGTCTTGCCTCTCTCTATGTCTCTTATGAATAAATAAATAAAATATTTTTTTTTTAAAAAGTCCACTCTGAGGTCAAAGAAGATATGAGGGGAACGGCCTAGTAAATTACCATTCAGCTGAAGGGTTCTTAATCCTGTCCATGTTAAACCTGCCCCTTACCCCCTCCTCAACCTTTCCTGGTATTTCCCGCAGAGATGTTAACTGTGAAGCAAGCAGGCAGGTCTTCACCGCAAACTCAGAAGGGAATTGTCTGAGTTCACCAAAGAATTCAATGAAAATATGATTCTTCATTATTACATAGGAGTTATTTTGGCTGGGTCTCCTCAAAAAAACAAAACAAAACAAAAAACAGATCTCTGGGCGTTTTATTCTGGGAGAAAGTTTCCAGAATGACACCAGTTCATTTGCCCACAAATTGCCATAAAGCTTTTCTTGCTGCTGTCTGAAATTACCTCCAGCAGTTCATTGATATACATTACACAGCCTTCTTAAGTGCCCTCTTAATACCCGAATGCTCTGGAAGGGACAGTGGGAAGAAATAGCAGTGTGGGAGCATGTGGGGGTGGGTGGGGGTAGGGACTGAAGCCAGAAAGGGAGTAAAGGATGGGGGTAGGAGAGAGAGCCAGAGCTAGAGTTTTCCCAGGGTCAACCTGGGGACAGCAGTTCATGGTCTTTATCACTAATAGTTATCAGAACCAACTAGGCAAAGTTAAAAGTTGAGGGGAATAGAAAGATGATGTGAAAGATATGCCCTCCTTCTCTTTGGGGTCTTAGTTAATAATAACTGATTTTTGTTTAATGATTTACAAAACACTCTTACATTGCAAATCCATATGCTCTGCACACAATCCTACCCAGTTGGGTGGGCAAGGTGGGTGTTACTTTGCACCTTGTAATAGATGAGCCAACTGGCAATCAGAGAGATTTCAGGAAGTAACCAAAAGTCACATGGCAAGCAAGGTCTTGACTCTCAATTACATGCTTTTTTTCTTAATTCACCCTACCTCCCTGACTCTAGCTGAGAAGCTGTATAAACAAGAAAATATAACTAACGTGAAATGGTATGTTCAGGACCAGAGCTGGGGGTACAGACATGAAATAATCCCAGAGGTCAGAGAAAGGGTGAGAGATCTTCTAGACGTTTGGAGTAGTACGAACCCAGCCTGTAGCCAGGATACTAAGCAAGATTGTGTAACCAATTTGGGTTTTGGAAATGGGTTCTTTGTTCAGCCTGGTTCCCTCTCAACCTCAGGACTCTCTTTGAACTCTCCTAATGGATGAAATTGGATTTTCCACCCATGACCACTATTTATCAGGAATGCCCTTCCTGAGTGACTTTGCACCTTTACTTCACACTCTGAAAGTGTGCACATCTCAAAAGACCTATAAGACAATTTTCTCTCACATTGCAGTGTGCCAAAGCTGTCCAACTCCAGGTTCTTCTTTTATATTAAAATATCATATGACTTTTATCTTCCATTCACAGTATATCCATATTCATCTCGATATTCTTGCTCCTCAAATCTTTGAGTAGAATTCTTGTTCCAGAAGGAAGAGGTTCCTTCTCGCTGGCACACCTCCATACACCCATATGGGTTCATACATCCCAGGTTGAGAAGCTATCTAAAGAAATCTTGGAAAAAAAAAAAATAAAGAAATCTTGGGCCTGTAGCTAGAAGGTCCCTGCTCCTCAGCCACTTCCTCACATATGTGAGCTTTATTTTTTTTAAGATTTTATTTATTTATTCATGAGAGACAGAGAGAGAGAGAAGCAGAAACATAGGCTGAGGGAGAAGTAGGCTCCATGCAGGGAGCCCGACGTGGGACTCGATCCTGGGACTCCAGGAGCACGCCCTGGCTGAAGGCAGACGCTCAACCACCCAGGTGTACCTCATATGTGAGCTTTAACCCATGCTCAACAGTATGCTGTGTTTTCATTTACTAAATACTATCCTGGGTGTGCTACCACACTAAAGCAATTATACAGAGAGTTGGTCCTACCCTCAAAGACACTCTGAAAGAAGGGTGGATAGAGACAAAAATGTAAGAAAAATACTACTGGATGACTGTAAGAGGCACAGAACCTCAGAATTTCAGAGGAATCCTGAATATGGATCCGCTAGCTTCATAAAACAGAACAAAATAATGGAAATAAAAAAAAAACACCTCATTTTACAAAGTATCTTAGGCTTGGTGAGGTTAAATGACTTGACTAAGGTCATCCCCAGTTTATGGAAGAGTTCAGGACTAGAACCCATATCACAGGCTGTGTGCTTTCTGACATATAGGGCTCAGCAAGAGTAAAAACTAATACTGTAAATAAATATTCACATTTCCTAACGAAAAATGTAAATGACAGGCCACGGAACGGAAAAAGTAAGAGACGGAATTACATAGAGGCCAAGCCTGCAAGTTCAGTAGACTACACTGGAAGATAAACAGTCAACTAAAGCAGGGACTCATAAATACAGGGTGGGACATTTAAATGAAACCATTTGGAGTCATGTAAACCGGGACTGACTTCATTATAGCCTCCCTTATGGTACAGAACCGCATGTCAAAACTATTGACTTTAGTCTTTTGATAAATGTGTTTTCTTCATAGAACCCAAGAGGAATGTGAGAAAGGTTTCGGTAATCTGAGGGCAGTCTGGACATAGCCCTTTGAAGCTCAAAGTGAAGTGTGATGGATGGGGAAGCCATTACAAATGTCTTAAGGAAAGAGGACAAAGAAAATTCTGGAGCCGCATTAAACATCCTACTTCGTTAGCCACATCATTTCACCATACCAGCAAGACCCAAGAGGCCCTTGCTCCTTCCTGCCCCAGGGTCTTTGCACATGCTATCCCTTCCCTCTGGGATCCTTCCCCTTCCTCTACCCCCTCATACC